ATGATTCCATATAGACATATTATAGGTAGTAAAAACTATGTAGGTTAGAATCCAATAAAAATAAATTAAAAAAAATTTGAAAAATAGGACCTTTTGTTGATTTACATCGTATTTGTCGATTAATAATAATTTAATTTAATTGATATCTACAAATAAAATATTTTTTTTTTTTTGTAATTAAAATATTTATTCAATCTGTTTCAATACATGAACAATAAGAACAATTGATGAAAGTAAAAATAAAATAAAATAAAAATAAATGACAGATTATCCCGAATGTAGAGGCCTCCCAGCGGAGGTACTACGACATGAGTAGGACTAAATTAGGCTAGCAGGTCGCGACACCACTGTCTTTTAAGTCTTTTAACTGGGTTACATGGGATAGAAGCAGATGATAGGTCGGAGATTAACGGATTCTTATGGTGAGCTAGGCGGTTATTGAAACGTTTATAATGAGTTTTGGCTAGTTCAGAGACAAATGGTATTTTGAGATCAGTGTGGAGGGTGTGGTTAGAGACATAGAATGGTGCTTTTAGAATTGTGCGTAGAGTTTTGGATTGGAATCTTTGAATGCGGTTGATGTTGGAGATTTTGGCAGCGCCCCATAGTTGAATCCCATAAGTCCAGATGGGTCTGAGTAGGAGTTTGTAGAGCAGGAGTTTGTTGGAAGGTTTCATGTGCTTTGATGTTAGAAGTGGACGAAGGAGCCGGAAGCGGTCATTTAGTGTACGAGTTTTGTTAATTATGTGAGGTTTCCAAGTGAGACGGCGGTCGATAAGGATACCGAGGTAACGTACGCATTGCGCAGGGGGAAGTGGTTGGTTGTTGAGATAAAGTGTTGGACATACTCCTTGACGAAGTGCAAAGGTACCGTGGATGGACTTGGTTTCGTTCATTTTTACTCCCCATGTTTTGTACCACGATTCAAGGGAGAAGAGATGATCTTGTATGTAGGAGGAGGCTAAAACAGGATCAGGGCTGGTTGTTAGTATGGCTTTGTCGTCAGCAAAATCACCGACTAAGGTATGGGGTGAAGTAGGCTGGTCGGAGATGTAGAGATTGAAGAGTAGGGGAGCAATTACTGCGCCTTGTGGAACGCCTGCTTTTATTTCAGTAGGAGAGGAGAAGGAAGAACCTACACGTACGGAGAAGAACCGATCTTCGAGGTAGGATTTGAGGATCAGATAGTAGTGACTAGGAAGGACAAATAAAATATAAATTATTTTACTGATTTATGATTGAAAAAATATATTTTTACTAATTGATAGGTAGGTGAGTCTACCTTAATGATTATTTAAAAATCAATAATTTATATCAATAATCATAATAATTATCACTTATCAATATCATAATTATTGTACATTTGATATTATATTATTATACGAGTACATTACTTTGTCTAAAATTCAATAATAATAAGTAATTGTGTGGCCATGTGAGTCTTAAATCTTAATATTATGGGTCCTTATCAAATTATATTATCATTTGTATATTTTAATATTTATTACAAAATAATAGTACCTAATAGCTACTAACATACCATTACCATTTATATACTTAAGTAGCTTAAACTATTATTATTTACACTAAACTAATTGTACGAATGGGATTTTCAATGGAGAATACATATTATTTGTCTATAAGCTCTATATTACCCATGTCATTAAGTATTAATGCTTACACGTAAAAGTCACTGCCAGACAACCTAAGTTATATACTTTCTAAAACGTCACAATATATGACTTTCCACGATACTATTATTATGTGCTGTAATGTTATTTTGTGGTTTTTCAACGTTACGGTTTTTGAAAACACAGCAACCTTCTATAAGGTAATACAAATGCGTTTAATAAAATCTAAAAATACCATATTATTATCCATCGCAGCATTGACGACAAGTAAAATACATATTATTGGTGGTCAATGAAGTTTGAATTAAATCTCGTGTCCCTGGAGTCGAACTAGGTATCGATATTTTCCTCGTGATTTATTTTCACGTGTCAAACACAATTACTGTACACATCTGCCGCCCCATGATAATCAAAGAGAAACATTACAGCGTAACGGTAGACGCAAAAGTATATGTATACGTTTTTACTGTCGTATTATAATTTTTACTGCAATTGAATTTTAAATCATACTTACTCATTGTGGTAATGAGATATGCCGTGTACAATATTCTACGAAACGAGGTTCCGCCATCATTATTATGACTCGCGAAAGTATGTACAAAGTCTCATCTCGATGTTGTTTCGAAACATACTTAATATTTTTACTTAAAATTACATTTAAAATGTCACTATAATTTAATCCTATTATGTGCTAATTTCTGAGTTTAAAATTTCAAGGCAATGCGCTGCCTTAATTTTTATTATAATACCCTGTAACGATGTAAAAAAAAAATATATATATTTATCAAAATAATAAGCTCGTAAACGAAAATTCTATACATTGCAGTGCTTTATTATATCTGTGTTCACCATTTTTAATTTCTCTGTCTTATTAGCACTTCGCCCGAAAGACTTTCATTTGACTTCGTGTAAATCTGTGCGTAGCTGGTAGGTAGTAGGTATAATATATTATTATCTGAATTTGGACTATCGTCAAAATCATCACAATTTTTTTCTACATTTTTATTCTATTCAATTTTTTTTCCACCATATGGTTCCATAATTTGTGGAAACCCGAAACAGTGAGGATTTCAGTAGTATAAGTTCCTATATTTTATTTAAATGTTTGTTTGATGATCAATATTTTGTCTTTACCAAGTTTGTGACCATTAGTTTAATAGCGTTACAAATTGCATAAGACATACTTCTACAAAAGGTACTCTAAGTAAAATTATCTCTCTAAGGTGGCACTCACTGGCACTTTTGATGGAAGTGAAAAATATGCAAGTAGTATTAATAGTGTACATGTGTATATAAAATGTCAAAAGTACAACATTTTAAACTGAAATTCGATTTCAAGTTTGTTGTCATTAATTTTCTTCAACACTATAATAATATTATACTGTTGAGGTTGAATCATTTTGTTTATCTACAAAATAAAATCGACCACATTATCAGACATATTTTATTTTATATACAACTTAATTAAGTAGGTAGGTATAATATATATATATATATCATAGAATGGCGGACTTGGTAATACACTACATGTTATGATTTATTAAGAGTTAGTAGACTTCATCGGAATCATTATTTAAGATCCCAAATTAAATTTGGAGACAAAAAAGAATTTTTTTAATTTTATGACGTAAGCATATACCCTAAAAATAGAGGTTATAAAATGATAGTTATGACCTATGAGTGAAAATGAATTATTCCGTGTATACGAATTTGTGTCATCGACTGACATATTATAATGCATTAATGATGGACAACGATAGAGCAAAATATGTTCCGTTCGTATAAAAACTAATTAAGACTGGACGGATAGTGTACGGATAGTTTATTCATATAATATTAACATATCAAAGTTCGAACACGAGATGCGAGCGCGTGCTGCGATTGGTCGACATATTTGATCTGAAACATGTACGTTGGAAGTTCATTTCACCTTTATTCACTGCCCACTGGTATATTAGGTCGATGTTCATAATCTACAAAAAATATGTAGGTAATTAAAATTACATCGGATATTCTGTGTTTAATTTTTTTTCCGTTAATTAAATGATACATATTATTTCTTTTAGCCGCGTGAGAACTTAATTATAAAAATACGTTTTTAGACTTTAATTTTTACTACTGGTTTTTAACAACACAACATAATATTATGTTTAGAGTTGTATATTTTTCTCGTAGGTACAATTATACAAATTAAAATTGGATTATCGCACAGGATACATTAAATAACAACTGAGTTTTTAAACACATTTTTGATAAAACTAAATATTGGTCATAGATTTCGTGGTGTAGTCTAGTTGAAAATCAAGCTGTCACGGGAGTAGAAATGACCACATGCGTGTATTTCACCGGAAATTTCAAAATGGAGTGCCCACATCCTTAGTCTTTATACGTAGTCATGTTATAATTGCTTAAGGGATTTTAGTTTATATCGAGTTATCTCTAAATAAATTTTAAAAAAATGGTATTGACTTCAGAGTCATACAGAGATTTCAAACATATCACTCTTTTTTGCTTTATGTTCAATTTTAAAATAACCTTTAAAAATGTATAGCATTATTAGGAATAGTATATGGGATACGCAATCAAGATAAATTAATATATTTCTAGAGAAAATATTTATTTATGAATTTAACTTTTTTTTTAAACTATCTAACCGATTAATCATCATCATTTTCATTCCATATTAATATTATAAGAGTTGTTTAAAAAAAACATGTTTATAAATAGTAAATTGGTTTTTTTTTCGATGTTAAAAATTTAATTGAGTTAATCGTCGTTTGTAAAATACGACTTACCATAAGCTTAAATATTCAATTATTTACAAACATTGACAATAAATATTAATACGAAAAACATATGGAGTCAGAATTCATTATAACTACGTTGAATATTTTACTTAAAGTAAATTGAATTTGAATTTGCATTGTATACTTTATATTATGTTATATGCCACATTATCAGCTTGACATTTATTCGTATTTAGACATTTTAGTCACATTTTGTTCATAAACAAATATGATACGTTCTGATTACCTGCTATGTAATTGTTTAAAAATGTATACCTATTACTTAACAGATTTTGATTATCAAAATATTTTATAATTTATTTTATTGAACAAACTAATAAATTACTAAACCTTTAAAGTTATGTTATAACAATATATCATACAGAAATAATGTATTTCATATGACGGATTTTATTTTTCATTCTAGAAACCTGTCTTAAAATGTTGTTTTTGTTTGTCCCATGTGATTCCGTTAACCCGTGTTGGGTTTCATTATTGTATATTATTTCTTGTGTTATAATACCTATTTTGTTTCACGTAAACAAAAAGTCTAATATGATTCCTTCATTAAAATTTGTTTCAGAACGCCTTGAATGCAGAATACCACAACGACTCCGATGTGAATTAAATGCGCCCTTCATCAGAAGTTATATTATACTCTTCTTATTTAAAATCATTCGCTTCGTTGTAAAACCCTTAATTTGTTTATATTTTACATTCTCACTAGTGCTTTTTCAATCAAATTGTACCTTCTGCATACATTTTAGCGATTACAGATTTTTTTAACGTAGTTGATTGTATTCCATTTTAGTTCTATGGTAAATTTTACATTCCCGATAATAATGTATTTGTTTACTCCGAAGATTAACATTACTCTTAAATATATGTCAAAATAACAGTCATCATTTATTTTGTTAATACTTCAATAATAACATTATTAGGTATGATTCTTATTATAATTATTATTGCAATTAATAACCTACTCTACTTATACCTGTACTTTAAACCGATATTTAAAAAAAAAAGTAGGTTTAGCCTTATGTGAATTTCCGAGTAATATTTTTTTCTCAGATGCAGAATTTAAAAAAAAAATAAAACTTTATATAGGTATTAATTAATAATGATGATAATAAGTACTCTATAGGTGGTACTATAGGTACCTACCTACTAATATTATATAACGTGGTTATGGAAATTCACGTACGGTTTTTGGAGTGAATAATAATGTTTATAAAACGAGTATAACATAATATTTAAACTTATAACTATTAAAGAAATATTACATTTTATTGAAATTGTGTTTGATCTTTTCTATAACAAACCTCCAACCTCTGAATCTCCTAATGTTCTAAATGTAACAATAATAGTAAAAATGAATTATAATATTATAATATTATATTATATTCCTTTTTGATAATATCATCCACAATAATATTGAAAGGTGTCACGTGTTTAGGGTGATAATAATTCAATATTTGACCAGTGTCGCAAATACTAGAGACGGTTGGACATTGGTAATTATTACTTATTTGAATCTTATGTAGTTATGTTAATGAATGTAATGTGATTGATATAATATATGTTACGAGAGTGTACTCAATCTTCGACTTCGTGGTGAAATATAATAATTTAACATACCTAATAATAATTTACCAAAGTATATTTTATATATGAATATTATAATATTATAATATGATATAAACATTTTATAATATCAATTTATAAGCTTATAAATAAATAGTTTTTCACTAATAACTATATCACGATACATAGGAAAACTCGTGTTGGGTTCCGAGAAATTTGATCGCTTGAATTAATCACTAGTTGAGTGCATGTAGTAATTTTATACTACTCGAATGGGATCCGCAGTCACAACACGTGGCCTTTGAATTAAAACTTCCAAATTTCACTTAGCGCAAAGTTGGTGGTGAAAAATTCAACAACAACTATCAAAGGCATATTATAAAACTTCAGATAATGATATAAGTGACTTATCAATATTATCTTACTTGTATTTTTGGTTTACTTCTTTTGAGGTGGAGTAGTTGTTAGATTGTATTGTGTTAATAATTTAATCACCATTAAACGTGACCAAAAATATATGTAAGCTATTGGTATAATAGATAAATTATATAAATATTATGAAAAAATTATTAATTTTAGCTATTAATTTAATTGTGAATATCGAAAAAAGGCCAAATCTTGCTGCTTTTGTCATACATACTCATATGTTACATGTACATAACGTTACATAATAAACTGTACTTGTAGAAAACAAATTGATAAATAGATCAAATGTTTCAATAAAAAATCAGTTTTTTATGTTTCCTGAAAAAATATAATTTTTCAAATAGTGAGCCGTTTTATAAGCTCACAGTTAAATTATGGACAGAAAAAAATAATCTACATATTAATGTTAATATTATGAAACAAAATTTAAATAATAATATAATCATTTAATAATCATTTAAATCGGAGTAACAAGAATGAAGAAACTTAATTTTTATGACTATATCCAGTCAACCTCTGTGTGGTATCTCCAGAGTTCTGTCACTAACACCAAAGCTGTCATAACCCAATTCAAGTTCTACCAAATAAATAGGAAAAAACTAGTGTACTCGATAAAACACGTAGGTTTCCATCTTATGCCATAATTACATTAAAAATTTTGAATTTTTTTTATTGAAATGTTTTGGTTCTACTTCTACATAGTTAATTGATACCTACAGTAAAATTAGCTTATCTGAAAAAAACATAGTAAGCATAACTTCATTATTAGTTTTATATTGCAAGTTTTTAAAAGTAATACATATTACATGTACAATTATATAAAATATGTATTATAATATAAATATATAATAGATATCTAATGACTCAGATAGGTAAAACAGATAGGTATAATAATTATATTTTTACTTCATAAAAACTTGTGCTATAATTTATTGTAATTATTATCAGGATTTATTTTTATTATAATATTCTAAAATTTGAAAATATAAATTACATTATAATATCATGTTTGATAATAACATTTTTAAACTGTACTTTTAATTAAAAATTATTTATTCCAAAATCCTACAAAACAAATGATGAACCGCTGAAACCCTGTAAAAATAATAATGAAATCGTACTTTTTTTGTTTTTAATAAATCCACTCTAAGCCATATTAATTTCTTTTCGACCTATGTAAAAATAAATTTTTTATAAATGTTATGTTCAATTATCAAATTAATATTTAGTGTTGAATTTGTTATACGATTTATTATAATATTATACGAACGTAATATGAATCGATTGAAAAAATTGTATCATAATATAAGTTAGATGTATTATTTCTATTGAATTACTTTCATTAGACGCCATAAAATGCAATTGTCGTCAATGTCTTCCAATAGCTAAATACAGAAAAAAATACATCACGGTGAGCAACCTACTTTTAATTAATTGTAAATAAATAATATAATGATTAGTTGAATTTTACTTTTTGATCTTTCAATTGTGGTGTAAAAAAAAAGTCTACAATTGGTTTTCAATGATTATTTAGAGAGCTCAAAAAACAATTTCGCCCAGTTATAATACAATATAGACCATCTATTGTCGTTCTGACATAACTTGGTGACGCCACTGAAGGTTGCAGACAAAATGCACTACATCAACAATCAACATAAGTACTTACCTATATCGTATATGTACAGGTAGATACTAGAGTATATTATTATGTACCTATATTTGATCGAGATTTTGAAGGTTCTATTGAAATTAACAAAAACCTTACAAATGATTTATTATTACCTACCAATATATTGTATTATTTGTCTATATTTCTTCACAGGATTAGTCACCGTATGATTTCAGGATACAATATTTACATGTAGGTATAATAATAATATAATACACATTTGTGTAATACAATTAATTATTATACTAACTAGTAATATTACAATTATAGGACGTGACATAATAGGTGCAAGTAAGGAGATGTAAAAATAAATTTTAATTATATCACTTAAATATAGGAAGTTATAAGTTGACTAGTATAGTAATATTAAATAATATATGTTACACGCTATATACCGAAGTGTCTGTGTATAAATATTACTAATAATTGAGTAACCAACCGAAATATATAAATGTATACAAACTGAATATAATTTGTATCAGTAATAATAATATATTATACAAAACTCGTAATATTATTATAAACGTTTCAGTTAACTTTTCATTATAGTTTTTAATTGTTTAATAGAATTATAATGTTATAATAATAATGTAGTTATAATATGTGTTACTACCGTGGCACAAGGCACCCATAATTTCTGTGTTACTGTTGTCCAAACTACAAACACTTCGTTTTGTGTTGTAAAGCACTCGAGTGTACTCGAGTGTACTCGAATGTTCGCGTATTTAAACTTGAATACAAACACATCCGACTGAATGAGAAATCTTAAGATTTCAGCACATTCGTTGGGAGAATTAATTGAATTACGTTAATTTAAGTTCCACCAGGTTGTCCGGGGAAATGTCTAAGAAAATAGTCTTTCAATTGTTTCTGTAATCTGTATACAGGTAAGCGGCCACTCCCTACAATATTACAGACAACTGAGCAGGGTAAAAATGCACAAGAAAATTAATATTGTACTTCTAGTTTTTGAAAATAACGAGAAAACGTGAAATATCAAAGATTTACCTACATTGATAATAAATAATAATATACTTACACATTTTGTGTTTCACTTATTATATTTTGTACATCAAACGGTTGTAAGCTACATGACCATAAGCAATGTGTCGCGATAAAGTTATACGCTTAAAACTTATTGTGATCTCGATAAGACGAGATCGTCGGGTAAATTATAGAATAGATTTACAGCGAGCAACGTGGTAGGTATAGATCTACCTATTAAACATTTCATGCACATTGTAGAGCGCAAGACAAATGCACAGCAGGCCTCCGAGGTCAAATACACTAATCGCTGAACAAACACGATCCGTTAAGGACGTGGAATCTAAATAAATAGGGAAATTCATTTGTTATAATTAGATGTTAAGTCTTTGACCTAATCAATTAGAATAGTGTACCTACCCTAGTACCTATAGTTTTGATAGTAAATATGGACCCGCCGAAAAGTTAAATTAGCTCAGTAGTATAATCAAAAATGTATCGTGTAATGAATAATGATTATGTCTGATGGCCCTCAATATTCATTTAATTGAATTAATAAATTAATTTTTATTATTTAATTAATAAATAATTAATACTCATCAAGTGATGCATTTTTGAATCGATAAAACTATAAAAAAAAAAAATGATTATTTTTATAAGAAATTCATTTTTCATTCCGTGCACAATAAGTAATATTTGTGTTGAAATTAATGGTTTTTTCTAAAGTAATCCAAAAGGTAAAGTATTCCAAAATATATGGGTTCGTCGATTGGTTATTAAAAACAGGTTGTATTTTGAAGGTGTAGTTTTTAAATTTTCTCAGTTGTTCAAATAACGGATTTTGTTAAACTGCGAAATAATTATCAACGAATCATCAAGCATTTTAACCTTGACTATTATTTTTGGGTAGACCAAGCTCCACCTCAGAATCCGTTTATATTAAATTACAATGATTTATTACAACT